TTTAGGAGCTGTATGCCATGAGTTGGGACAAAGACCAAATCCAAATACCTATTGCTTTTTTCTTTATTTCTTTTTTTATATTTTAGAGAGCGTGCACGTGTGCGAGTCGGGGAGCCGAGCAGAGAGAGAGAGAGAGAGAGAATCCCAAGCAGGCTCTACACTCACAAGCCCGATCCCACGACCCTGGGATCATGACCTGAGCTGAAACTGAGGGTCTGGTGCTTGACCAACTGAGCCCCCCCAAGTGCCCCGGGGCTTCTCTCCTTTTTAAGGCTGAATCCTATTCCGATGGATGGACCATGTGTGGTTTATCCTAACATGTTCCTAAAGGAGCACTGATGTTCCTGTTGATGGGGACTTGGGTTGCCTCTATCTGTTGACGATTGTGAGTCATGCTGCTGTGAATATGGGTATACAAATTTATCTTTGAGACCCTGCTTTTCAGTTCTTTTGGGTATATTCCAGAAATCTCCTTAGACTTTTAAATTATTGTGTGAAACCAACAAAACAAAACAAAAAACCAAGCAACCGACCAAACAAGCAAAACAACCTTGCTGTTTACTGTCACTTATTTGGAATATTAGTATCATTTATGAGATTGTTTTTTCTCCCACTGAGTGCATGATGCCAGACGATTCTCCACATTATCGAAGAGAGTAATGGTTATCAGTCTCTTTGGGGTTCTGGATTTCTTTGAGAAGCTAATGAAAGCCGTGGGTCATATTCCCAGAGAAACACATGCATGTGTATGTGAGCACACACAGCATCGATTGTGCATCTAATTTTGGGGGTCCCATAGTGACTGTGACTCCAAGATTAAAGCTGCAGCATAGGGGCGCCTGGGTGGCTCAGGTCACGATCTCGTGGTTCGTGGGTTCGAGTCCCGCATCCAGCTCTGTGCTGACAGCTCGGAGCCTGGAGCCTGCTTTGGATTCTGTGTCTCCTCCTCTCTCTCTGCCCCTCCCCCAATCGAGCTTTGTCTCTCTGTCTCTCAAAAATGAATAAATGTTAAAAAAAAAAAAGCCTCGGTGTAAAGGAACATCTCCTTTTTCACACTGCGAGTCACGAGGAGCAGTGGAATTCGAGACACAGAAATTTTACCTCCTGGCCGCTCATTTAGGAACATGTCAGTTCCCTGACTTCGGGTGCTCTTAACATGCAGATCTCACACCCACTGCTTTGCCTTCCAGAAGCTTACCTTAGCTCTTTCACTCTTAGCCCCCAACAACAGCCAAGGAGTGTCTGGGAAAAAAACTTTTTTTTCTGATTCCAGTTCCCTTCCTTCCCCCTCTGGATGACCTCTGATGAATGAGGAAAGGACCAACATGTAGGTTCATTTCCTGTTTATTATTAAAGTGATTTCCACAAATGGTTAATTACATGCATACGTATGAACGTGATGGAGAAAACAAAACCTTGACTACTGGGGGCAACTAAAGGGAAAAAACACGGTTGCGTTGGTATTTGGTCACTCTTGTAGGCAGAGTGATTGCCTGGGCCTCCCCAGGACCCAGAGCGGAGGCTGGGGGAACAGGGCCCCCCAGGGGCTGTTCAGAGGTCCTGTTCCACGAGCGGACGGACTGGGTCTGCTCAGACTGGTTCTGATCTCGGCGGATTAAGACCTTCCCCGGGATCTACGGGGCCTCTGAACCGCACGACAAAGTACTCGGGAGGCATCGGGGAGCTTTCTTTTTTGGCCCCTACTTTTCACCACACTGTTTTTGAGGGACACCCACATTCTTTAATGTTCGTGTGCCAGAACCTGCAAGGGGACCTCTCCGGGGTTGGGGGCCACTCCGCGCGAGCACCCGGCTGAGGCCGAGCCTGCCCTGTGGGGGAAGGGACCTGTCCATGCGGGGGAGGGGGCGGAAGCCGGTCTTCCTCTGAGTTTTCAGCTTCAGAGGGAGGGAAGGTCGCTACGTGCCCCCGCCCTCCACCTCCCTCCCCTCCATCCCTGCCCCCAAACTCCCCACCGCCAGCTCTGCCTCAGCTGTGCTTCCCGATCTGCCCAACCGTTAGCAACATTTCACGGACATTCCGGACCTTGGGTTTCGAGGGGCTTGGGTTTGGTTCTCACTTCCAGCAGTTATGAGCCATTCGCCTCGGGCCTCCCAGAGTCTCAGCCTCCACAGGGGATTAGGGTCAGGCCCGCCCGCCTCGCTGGGCCATGGGGGGCTCAGGCCTTTCAGTGCCTCCCGTTGAGACTTGAGGGGTACAGTTTCAGGGGCCCCACCCAGGGGCTGGGGAGGCCTCAGAGAGACCGGGGGTCCTGCTCTCTGGGGGCCATGTGTGCAGGGGGCCGGGAGGGGAGGGGCGGCCGTGCCTGTGGCATCTCCGAGATGCCTTCTCCAAGAAGAAAGGCGGCCTGGATGACGCGGCCTCTGGCCCCGTGCCTGGCATACAGCAGGTGCTCAGCACTTACCCCGGGGCATGGGGGTGGGGTGGGGGAAGGCTGGCGCCTGCAGGTGGATTGGGGCGGGGGACAGGGGAGGCAGCCATGGGCGGATCGAGCTGTCCGCTCTGTGTGTGGATGACGGGTGTCTCTCCAATGTCAGCCCTTCTGCCTCTGGCCTGAATGATGTCACCTTGGCACCGTCACCCTGGTCAGAAGGGGCTGAGCTGCCACCACGTGTATCTTTGGTGAAGAAAAGGGACTTCGATACAGATACGGTTCACCAGGTTGACATCTCCAGGCGTGTAGCAGAGGGGGTAAAAACAAGCCGAGTCCCGGGGGAACAAGAAAGGACCCTCCCTTCTGGAGCATGGACTGTTCTGGGCGGGGCACTGGTGCTGAGGCGGGGGGAGCCCGCTGTCCTGTGCGTGGTGACCAGGGTCTCCTCTGTATCTCTCTCTGCTGGTGGAGAAGAGCGGCCATGCCGTGAGGCCGGGCTGGCGACAGCTTCTCCTTTGGGACACGGACTTCGGGACTCCCTGGGTGACCCCTGCTCTGCTCTGCCCTCCTGCCGACACTCTCCACCCCCCACCTAGGGTACCGGGAGGTGCTGGAGGGAGGGACTGCCTTCTCCGGAAGGAACGCCGGGGTCTGGCCAACCCCAGCCCAGCCTCAATCACCTTTATCTCTGTGACCAAGAGGGACTTTCCAGGGGATCCTGCCAGCCAGCCCCACGGCTGTGCAGCAAATGTTTGCTAAATGACTTAACCTAGCTCAGTATCTTCTTTTCCTGCCGGGGGTGGTAGTGAATGATTATTCAACCCCCAAGATGTCACAGAGGCAGGCACTCCAGCTCCAGCAGGCTGGAGAGTGAGGGTTCGGGTGGGACACAGGCTGGAGGCAAGAGGTTCTCTTCGGGCTTTCAGAATCGGCCTCTTGGGGCCATTGCTCTCTGGTGACATTTTGGCCCGGGTCGCAGTTTACCTACGTGTCCCAAACCAACGGATGACAGGAGGGAAAGCTGTCTGAGGCCGCCATCCTGGGCCCCACGGCCTCCTGGACTCTGTCACCACAGAGGTGAGGAGGGGCTGGCAAAGGCTGACCCCGGGGAGCCCGAGCAAGGTCACCACCACTGGCAAATGCCACCAGCGGGGGCGAGGGGCAGAGGCAGAGTCTGAGACTAAGGGGAGGAGAGGGAGGCCAGCACAAGGCCACAGCTGCAAGGCTCTGGCTCAGGCAAGAGGGCTTCCTGATTCGGGGAGGCGGACGAGGTGACCCCAGCGTTCACTCGCTGAGGGCCCAGCCGGCCCCTGAACCTCGGGGCAGGTTCTCTTCCTTTCCTTCGTGTGTCTCCTCGGAAGCAGAGAGCCAGGAGACGCCAGAGGTGCGGGGCAAAGGGGCTTCCTCCAGGTCCGCCGCTCCTGGGTCCCGCCTGACCGCCGTCCGCCGGCCACCCGCTGCAGGGGCACCTTGGGCCGCTTCCCTGGTCACCCCAATGCCAGGCCCCAGGCCTTGGCACCTGCTTTCAGTCCTGGCCAGCTGGGCAAGCTTTTGTTTCCAGAAGCTTGTTCCTTAGCTCTTTCCCTTGGGGTTTATCGGCTGGCCAGACGCCAAGGGTCCTTGCCGGGCGAGGGGCGGCGGTGGCTGGGATGGGGCTGCCTGCGGTGGGGGCTGCTCGAGGCCGATGTCCCATCCACGAGTGGGGCGCTCCTTCTGGCTCAGCCCC